TTGCCAATTTAAAAGCAGCAAGGAAATACATGGTCATCTGATTAGTGGACTGCTCCTTCCTTTTTGATATTAAAAAGTTTTGTCAATTTAGTAAAAAAGTAAATTAAAATCCCCCTCTACACAGTATCTGATTCTTGGTTCCATCTAGATGTTCACAAAGTAACACCCACATAATTTGCCTTTTTACTCATAATCAACATATTTAACAATTTTTAATTTGAATATTCTCATTAAATTTTTCCCAGGCCTTCAAAGTCTTTTGAAGTTGCAATGCCTAAATTGTTTAACACTGAAATATGGCCAGCAATGTTTGTACGAGATATGACAAAGATGGAAAGGGTACAGCTAGAGAGACAGCCATTAAACATGCCATACATTGCCTTACAGCAGAGAGAAGCACCTCCGCTTGTGTCCAGCGTAATTATCCGAGAGACTTGTGGAACCAATCCCTTGCCACAGAGAAACATAATTGGTCACCAGAAACTATCCAAAGCATGGATGAAAGTCTGAAAGAATGGGAACGTTACCATGACAGCAATATTCTAGCAAAGGGAGCAGGTGACTTGCGAGTTTTATCCTTAGGGGGAGATGACCCCACAAAAGATATAAAAGTTCTCACTGAAAATGGTGTCTCTGCTCGGAAAATCTGGATAACTGAAAAAAAAAACAGGGACTTTCAAAAGGGGAAAAAAGCTGTCAGAGATTCTAGTTTTAGTGCAGTCAAGTTAGTGAAGATAAATCTACTAACTTTTTTGGAAGAGGACAGAGAAGGGCCATTTGATATAATTAACATTGACACCTGTGGCTCACTTCCAGCAGAAAGCCAAGAGACACTCAAGATCATTGGTCGCATCTTTCAACTGCACAAACTGGCGTCGCCGGGTGCTCTCATCACCAACTTTTCCTTTCCTCCTAAGGAACTTGCTGGATGTGAAGAACAACAACAAATTGCATACATAGCAAAGGAATATTTAAAGAACAAAATTAAAGACATCACTGGGTGTTACAATGACATGTTTTTGAGTCAAAAGACCGATGAAGAAATTTACAGTGATTATGTTACCATTCAAGTCATCGACTCAGCATCATTTGTTATACCAGCTCAAAGAATGTTTCTGTCTTCAAATAAGTGGAGTGACATTTTTGAACCAACAAAGTCTTTCTTTAAAGAAGTTAGAAAACACCCGCCACATAGTGTTGGCTCTACTTCTGAGGTCGCGGAAGGATGTACTAACAGATCTAAAGAAGATGCTGGCATGCATAGTAATATAGGTTGTAACGATTGTGAGCACTTATACAACAATTTCTATTTGAGCAAGATTAGCCTGGCCATGGAGGTGGAAAAAGATAAAAACAGATTTTGTACAGCGTGGTTAGATGAAGTTTTCCCAAGCTTAACTGCTAACCTTAAGAAGATAGAAGTATCTTCACTAGTTCTGACTGCACTTCTATTTTCGTCTATCAATTTCTTTTTGAAATTTGCTAATTTTAATTTCAAGCAATGCATAAGATCCTTAAAGCATTCTGAAGATAAAACTTTGATTGCTGGGCTTCTTTATGGGCTATCAGCTGAACCTTCATACCCTGTTTTGGATAAGTTGCGTCGTTTATATTATACAGAAGAGGAACAGCGGCAGATGTTCTGTGATGTCTTCATCTTTGATAGATGCAGGTATCTATTTGGACTATTCCCTTTTGTTCATACAGTGGACCAGTTTTGTGATAAAGAGGAGAATGTATTTTTAATTGCAAAGATGATTCTTGATGGGATGAAAAAACATTTAAAATGCATCTGTAAGAAAGACCTCTTTAATGTAAATCTCCGTTGTCAGTTTGGCCTTGATGAAACTGACGCAATAGTCAAAGAGCTGCCCCTTCCTGAGAGGAAACAAATATGTGTTGAGAAAACTAAAGCTGCAGTTACAAATTAATTAAAGGGGCTAAATGTCACGCTACTTGCTATCTTTGTAAAAGGCCAAGACGGTTTTTCATCAATTTAATTCCAAAAATTTTGATCCAGTTTCGTTATTCAAGACTACCTTTAAGCATTAAAACTGTTTTCTGTTGTCTGCCCCAAATGATGGCAGGGATGAACTGACGTGGATCGAAACTTGAAAAAATTGGGCTAACGTTTTCAAGTTTTAATGTTATACATGCAAAATCACCAAAAAAGTATTGTTGTTGATGCTCCCTGATGAAATTTGTTTGGCATCTTCTTCATAATTGTACATAAGTATTAATATACATTGTTAAAGGCACTAAGAAATGACTTCATGAAGTGCAGAATTGACTTAAAGTAGCATTACCTAGCCTCTTTAACCCTTTAAGTCCCTATACTGACCTACATCAATTTTCTCCTAACATTTTCCATACACCATAGAGATAAAGGTTAGGAGAATTAATAGTATAATCACCAAGTATGAAATGCTTTAATCTTTAATCAAATTCCCTCAACTAATCCTTCAAGCAAATATACAGGGATTAGTATGGAGAATTTGACTTACACAATTTGCTAATTACAGATTCATTTTTTTGTTTTTGTGGGTCAATTATTAGTTGTGCGATAAAAAGAAATACAAGGGGTTCTCTGTACAATCACAAGGTCTTAGTAAAAACTTTGTAGTTTGGGTCATATAATTTGAAACTGTTTGGGTGTGTCTCAATGTGCAAAACTAAGTCTTATTTGCACTTGCCCTTAGGAAATTTACAACTTATATTGATTTGAATTGAAATATATAAATTAAATAGAATCATTTTGAACTGCAGAAAAGGTTTTGTATATATTTAGCCACACAGATAAACTACACGATTACAATTACAATAAAGGTACAAAAGTGTAGGAAACTACAAAGCAGATGCTAATTAGGCCTCCTCAATTTATATTTTCCAAAGATAAACTGTGTCATTCAAGAAAATACGCATATCCTCCACACCCCACATCCCAACCCCCCACCCCCCCCCCGTGGAGGGCAACAAAAAATCTGAGGGAAGGGGGGTCCAAAAGAAGGTAATTTCCGTGGGGTTGGTAAGTGGCCTCTTAAGTCTAAAACAAAAGTGCCCTCCATAGGGGAGGGTATAGATATATTTTGGAACTACATGATAAAAATTACAATGACGGATACAATATTATTATTAACAATAAATTAAGGGAGTTTTCAAATGTTGAATATTAAACAGTTTTTTTCCCAGATATTTTTTAGAATGTAGCAATAATTATTATTATTTGGGCGTGGCCCAAATAGAGTAATGGAAACGGCTTGTTTTGACGCAAATGTGCAATAGGCACGCAATACGTGCTAACGTAAACAAGGCAAGTAAACAAGCGAAGCGAGGCGAATGTCTGTCATGCGAACGTCTTGTACAAGGTAAGAGGCATATGGGAAAGAAAGCTCTGCTTGCACACGGCACTTTATCGCACTTTTACGATCTCAAAAGTTAATCCATCCTCGGAGACCCAGGGGCAGTTAGTCGGGTCGATAAAATGTTCGTGGTGAAAGTTTACTGTAAGATCGAGACGAGCCCCTGGGTCTCCGAGGATGGATTAACTTTTGAGATCGTAAAAGTGCGATAAAGTGCCGTGTGCAAGCAGAGCTTTCTTTCCCATATGCCTCTTACCTTGTACAAGACGTTCGCATGACAGACATTCGCCTCGCTTCGCTTGTTTACTTGCCTTGTTTACGTTAGCACGTATTGCGTGCCTATTGCACATTTGCGTCAAAACAAGCCGTTTCCATTACTCTATTTGGGCCACGCCCAAATAATAATAATTATTGCTACATTCTAAAAAATATCTGGGAAAAAAACTGTTTAATATTCAACATTTGAAAACTCCCTTAATTTATTGTTAATAATAATATTGTATCCGTCATTGTAATTTTTATCATGTAGTTCCAAAATATATCTATACCCTCCCCTATGGAGGGCACTTTTGTTTTAGACTTAAGAGGCCACTTACCAACCCCACGGAAATTACCTTCTTTTGGACCCCCCTTCCCTCAGATTTTTTGTTGCCCTCCACGGGGGGGGGGGGGGGGG